CTGTATTGTTAACTCGACCCACATTCTACTGTTAACTCGACCCACTTTGTACTGTTAACTCGACCCCACTGTATTGTCATTTCAACCTACATTGTACTGTTAACCCGACTAACACATTATTGTTAACTCAATCCGCACTGTATCGACCAACAATGTATTGTCAATTCAACCCACCTGTATTGTCAATTCAACCCACATTGTACTGTTAACTCGGCCCCCACTGTACTGTTAACGCGACCCACATTCTATTGTTAACTCAACCCAAACGTTATTGTTATCTCGACCCACATTGCTCTCTGTTAACTCGACCCACACGTGCACTCTATTGTTAATTTAACTCAAACTTTATTGTCCACTCAATGTTACGTGTTAACTTTTAGTTTGTGTCGAGATAACAATTTTGCAGAGTGTTGTGAATTGCTCTTAGCATATTCCGGCGTATATTTTCTCCAAAAATATCTTCAACAATTATTAACTAGATTAATAATTGTATACCTAATTAATAACCTTACAGGCATTGTGAGTGTATCCAAACATCAGCTCGTGATTTTTTACCAAATATTCAACGGTGAAGAAAGTGAAGAAAGGGGAGGAGGGGAGGAGGGGACAGGAGTAGGGGTAGGGCGGGAGTTAGGGGATAAGGGTGAAGACCAATATATATACAGTTTCGATAGGTAAGAACTGGGATCAGTCTGGGTAGTAAGGAGTGAATCAACTACCATATTAATATCTGCCCGGGACAACGAGAGTGATATAATTAAATATGTATAAGTTGATTGATTTTTTTTTTATAAAATGTCTTAAATAGAAAATCGTAAAAAAGGAGTTTGTGTATAGAGAATGTCCGGATAGACACACATAGACGGAAATGATATTAAGGACAAAATATTTCCATTAACAGATGTTAATATATACAACTTAACATAAGACTTCCGGGTATATTCACAGCGTAGCATGACATATGTGGATATCTCCGCGTGCTTAAAATGTTTCAATTGATTTTTCTTCTGAATCAGAATTGAAAAGATATTAACAAATAAAAAATAATGTATTGATATTTTAATATCAGCGCAATGGTCGTCATGAGTGACACGCTTCATTTTCGACTTTTTAAATATTTTAGTAGATTTAAGCCAGACCAACATCATTAAACTTTGTAATATCTAACTTATACAAAGGACCTGAAAATCATTATTGGTAAAAATGAAAAGAAATATGGGGTTGACATACAAGTCTTATGAATAACTTGATGTCTAATATCTTTATTATTGATGTTTCGAATGAAAAATGTTTCCATTCCCTTTTGTTTTCTCCGAAGTTACATAAAATATAAATAATCATTTATAAGCAGCTTTTAGAAGAGGGCTATCTGTCATCCACTTCAAAACACAATGTCACTAAAAACTGAGGTTTTTTATTGTCCATTTGTCATAATTTTCCGTTTTGTTTGTGAATTGTTAAATGTAAAAAGATATGAAATTGAGATTATTCCTTTACAGCTTTTGTTTTAAATCACTTTCATTCAAAATGACTCCATAAAAACCAGACAGACTAACCAGATGAATACCATCCTATAATAAAAATTTCATGATACTGCAGACGAAGAATATTTAAATATGAAATACAAGACAAAAAATACATGCAATTTTCACGAGATTTATACCCGACTTTCGTTTGCAATATGTTGCCCGAAGCAAAAACTACAATTTTATAATGTGGATATCTTTTTATTTTTTGTTGTTCTTGAACGGAAAGGTTGGGACCCTTTATTACACACAGTTCGTTCGCTTTTCCTGATTTCAATAAACCATTGTCAATGGAAGGTGAAGTGCCGATAACTAGGTCCCTAAGGGCTCGTTAGGATCAGTTTTCCTACGTAACGAAAAGAAATAGAAAACGATTCCATATCGTGTTTCTGACATCCAATGTCATGTTTTGTATTTTATAAGTGATTAAAAACAAACCATTTCGGTCATTATTATTATTTTTCAGCAAGTTTTATCGAACTGAGTGAATTTAATACAATATTCCTAATCAAAACGTCAAGAAATAACAAATAGCTTAACAAATGAAAAGCAGGATAACTTTACTTTGGTTTAAACTTTTATAACTTCGTTGTGATGTGTTCGAGTTATTCCCCTTTAATCGCTTGACTGTTGCTATGCGGCCATTGTTTGCTGATGAATAGTGTATTCAGATACCGATACGTTTTGTAAACGATTATACTTAAAACCTGACACTCTCTGACAGCTATTTAACAATTTTGGCATTAAAAGAGTTTTTGTATTCTATTTTAAACAGATACACAAAAGACTGTCCAAATAATGATTGGCGTAGCGATCTAAACCACGATAGATATGGACTGTGTCCTACATAGAAACAAGAAAATAGATTTTCTTGTAAAGAAACGACATTTAAAAGTATTCAAAGTGAATCGTTCTAGATGACTGTATTAAACATTTATTTGTTGTGTTTTCATGAAGTAAACCCGATGCCTTACACTTTTATTATTCTAGTTCTTTTAAAATTCATAAACAAATCTATTGAGAATTTTTTTATGATTTATTTATATGATAATTTCGTTTCTGAGTGTTTTATCATATTTCAAATGATTAAAAAGATAAAATAATGATTGTGACACTATGTATGTACTAAAATTGTGATTTGTGTCAGCCTAACTAAAGTACCAGCTGGCAATTTAACGTCAAACAAAGCTATCATACGTGCATAGTGTACCAGCGCAGGAAAACCTTATTGTCAGATGCAAACTTATCTAGCCTCGAAATATGTAAATAACAAACAGGCGTGCGCTATCTCACTAAAATATTGTACACCGCTAAAGAAGATGGACCTGAAGAATTAGGGGTTTCTCCTTCCGTTTGTCATAGGAGTTATACAGAACAGAAAAAAACTACCCCACCCCGCCCCCTGTTACAATTCTTAGGTCTTTTTAGGGGGGGGGGGGGGGGCGTTTAAGGTGTGGCACTGAGACTTTGATTTGCAAATCCCAACTTTCAAGGATTTTTTTGTCATCCACCTTTTAGAAATTTCTATGTGACATGTTTGCCACAGACTGTGAATAAATTGATTTGCGTGGCTTATATGGTGTGGTATTGGGGGCTACTCTATACAGACGGATTTGATGTTATTTTTTTAACGACGTAAGATCAAAGTACAGATAGTGTGATAGTGCGGTGTGTGTGTGGTTGTGATAGTGCGGGGTGGTGGGGGTTGGTGTGTGTGTGTGGTTGTGATAGTAACGGGTTGGGTGTATGTGTTGTGTTTTGTGGGTGGGAAAGAGCGAGGTGTGTGTGGTTGGGATAGTGTGTGTAATAGAGTGGGGTGTATATGTTGTGTTGTGGCGGGGTGAGTGGGAAGGAGCGAGGATGTGTTTGGTTGTGATAGTAATGGGTTGGGTGTATGTGTTGTGTTTTGTGGGTGGGAAGGAGCGGGGGGTGTGTGGTTGTGATAGTGCGGGGTGGTGGGGGTTGGTGTGTGTGTGTGGTTGTGATAGTAACGGGTTGGGTGTATGTGTTGTGTTTTGTGGGTGGGAAAGAGCGAGGTGTGTGTGGTTGGGATAGTGTGTGTAATAGAGTGGGGTGTATAGGTTGTGTTGTGGCGGGGTGAGTGGGAAGGAGCGAGGATGTGTTTGGTTGTGATAGTAATGGGTTGGGTGTATGTGTTGTGTTTTGTGGGTGGGAAGGAGCGGGGGGTGTGTGGTTGTGATAGTGCGGGGTGGTGGGGGTTGGTGTGTGTGTGTGGTTGTGATAGTAACGGGTTGGGTGTATGTGTTGTGTTTTGTGGGTGGGAAAGAGCGAGGTTTGTGTGGTTGTGATAGTGTGTGTAATAGAGTGGGGTGTATAGGTTGTGTTGTGGCGGAGTGAGTGGGAAGGGGCGAGGATGTGTTTGGTTGGGATAGTAACGGGTTGAGTAGATGTGTTGTGTTTTGTGGGTGGGAAAGAGCGGGGTGTGTGTGGTTGTGATAGTGTGTGTAATGGGGTGGGGTGTATATATATGTTGTGTTGTGGCGGGG